AAATCTCAGTTCAATAATTTTGCCCATTTATTTATTGGGTTGTTAGCTTTATTGTTGGGTTTTGAGGATTCCTTACATATTCTATATCCAAGTCCTTTATCAGAAATGTGCTTTGCACATTTTTCTCCTAAGTCTGTAGCTTGTCTTCATTTTGAAACATAGTTTAGATCTTAGTTAGCCCAGGATTCTGTAATAAAATACCATAGACCGGGCAGCCTAAGCAACAGGCATTTGTTACTCACAGTTCTGGAGGCTGCTAAGTCCAAGATCAAGGTGCCAGCAGATTCAACTCCTTGTGAGAGCCCTCTTTCTGGTGTACAGATAGCCACCTTCTTCTTATGTCCTCCCATGTTGGGGAAAGACAGATCAAGCTCTCTGGTCTCTTGTAAAGGCATAATCCCATCATGAGGATCCCACCTTTATGACCTCATCTAAGTCAAATTACTTCCCAAAGTCCCCATAATTAAATATATTTGGGGAGGGGTGAAATACAATCCATCCCTAATAGTGTCTCTCAAAGAGAGTGAGTTTTAAGTTGTTGTTTTTTTTTAAAGATTTTATTTTATTATTTGAGAGAGAGAGACCGAGAGAGAGAGCACATGGCGGGGGGGGGGGGGGGGTTGGGAGGGTCAGAGGGAGAAGCGGACTCCCTGCCGAGTAGGGAGCCCGATGCGGGACTCGATCCTGGGACTCCAGGATCATGACCCGAGCTGAAGGCAGTCACTTAACCAACTGAGCCACCCAGGCACCCGAGTTTTAAGTTTTGATGAAGTCCAAATTATCAATTGTTTTTAACAGATCATGCCTTTGGTGTCCTATCTAGGAAATCTATGCCTAATCCAGATCACAATATTCTCTTATATTTTCTTATAGAAAATTTGTACTTTCAGGTGTTTTTATTTAGGAATAGTCCATTTTGAATGTACTGTTATATGTGGCATCAAGTATAAATGATCTTTTGTTTTTGTTGCTCTAGCACCATCTGTTAAAAAAGTCTATTTCTGGCTTCTCCATTCTGTTCCATTGATTTATGTGTCTATGCTTTAATAAATACCACACTCTACAGGTGCCTGGGTGGCTCAGTTGATTAGACGTCTGACTCTTGGTTTCAGCTCAGGTCATGATCTCAGGGTCCTGGGATCAAGCCCCATGTCAGGTTTTATGCTGGGCATGAACCCTGCTTAGGAGTCTCTCTCTCCCTTTCCCCCTGCTCCTCCCCACTTGTGCTTGCTCTCTCTCTAAAATAAATAAATACATACATACATACATACCACACTCTCTTGATTAGTGTGGCATTATCCTGGGTCTTGAAATCAGGAAGTATGAATCCCCCAAGTTTTTCCTTTTTCAAAATTGTTTTGATTATTCTATTCCTTTGCATTTCTATGTATATTTTTTAATCAGTCTGTCAATTTCTACTGGGAAAAAAAAAGCCTTCTGGTATTTTGGTTGGGATATCATTGAATCCATATAAATCAATTCGAAGAGACTTGACAGTTTAACAATATGTAGTCTTCTGATCCATAATCATGGTAGTTCTCTCTTTTATTTAATTTCCCCTAGTAACTTTAATAGTTTCCAGTGTACAGGTTTTGCACATCTTTTGCTAAACGTATCCCTTAATATTTTATATTTTCCATGATACTGCTTTTTAAATTCAGTTTCTGAATTTATTAAATATTATTTACTATTACTTATTTTACAGTAAAGCATTGAAGATCTCATGTAATTTATTGAATACTGTACTGGAAGTGAAAAGCAGAATGGTTGTATACGGACTGGGAGCTGTATCTCACTGCCGCTGACCAGCATCGTAAGAGAGTACCACATTGCATGTCGCTACCCTGGGAAAACATAAAAATTCAAAATTCAAGTTATGGTTTTTATTGAATGTGTACTGCTTTCACACTACCATAAAGTCAAAAAACTGTAAATAGAACCATCATAAGTTGGGGACTATCTGTATATGGAAATATAATTGATTTTATATATTGACCTAGTATCCTATGAACTTGCTAAACTCATTTATTTGTTTTAGTAGCTTTTTTGTGGATTCCTTAAGATTGTCTGTGATTAAAGACAGTTACTTCTTTCCGATTTAACTATCTTTTACTATTTCTTGATTTTATTGGCTGCACTAACTAGAACCTCCAGCAATGTGATGACTTAAAGTGGTATCTTTGCTTCTCTCAAATCTTAGTCTTTTACCATTGTATTAGTCTGCTAAGGCTGCCATAAGGAAGTACCACAAACTAACTGGCTTAAATAACATTTATTTTCACACAGTTGTGGAATCTAGAAGTCTAAAATCAAGGTGTCAGTGGGGTTGGCTTTTTCTGAGGCCTCTCTCCTTAGCTTGCAGATGTCTGTCTTCTCCCTGTGTTTTTACATGGATTTTCCCCTGTCTACGTTTGCCTTAATCTCCTCTTCTTTAAGGACACAAGTTATATTGGATCAGGATTCACCCTAATGACCTTTTAACTTAATTACCTCTTTAAAGGCCCTATTCTCTTTTTTTTTTAATTTTTTTTTTAAAGATTTTATTTATTTATTTGAGAGAGACAATGAGATAGAGAGAGCATGAGAGGGGGGAGGGTCAGAGGGAGAAGCAGACTCCCTCTGCTTCGAGCAGGGAGCCCGATGCGGGACTCGATCCCGGGACTCCAGGATCATGACCTGAGCTGAAGGCAGTCGCTTAACCAACTGAGCCACCCAGGTGCCCCCCTATTCTCTAAATACAGTTATATTCTGAGGTATTGCAGGTTAGGACTTCAATATACAAATTTGGGGGGGGGGCATGACTCAGCCCATAACAACCATCAAATATGATGTTAGTTGTAAGTCTTTGTAAATGCCCTATATCAGGTTGTTAAAATTTCCTTTAATTCTAGTTTGCTTAACTCTTTAAAAATCATTAATAAGTACTGAATTTTCTCAAGTTTTTTTCTGCATCTATTAAGATGATTATATATGTTGGGGCACCCGGGTGGCTCTGGATAAAGCAGCTGATTCCCGCTTAGGTCATGATCCCAGCATCCTAGAATTGAGCGCCACATCGGGCTCCCTCCTCAGTGGGGACTCTGCTTCTCCCTCCCCGTGCTCTTGTGCTCTTGCTTGCTCTCTCTCTCTCTCCCTCCCTCCCTCTCAAATAAACTCTTTAAAAAATGATTATATGGGGGCGCCTGGGTGGCTCAGTTGGTTAAGTGACTGCCTTCGGCTCAGGTCATGATCCTGGAGTCCCGGGATCGAGTCCCGCATCGGGCTCCCTGCTTGGCAGGGAGTCTGCTTCTCCCTCTGACCCTCCTCCCTCTCATGCTCTCTGTCTCTCATTCTCTCTCTCTCAAATAAATAAAATCTTTAAAAAAAAAAAAATGATTATATGTGTTTCCTTTTTCTCTCTTTTAATGTCATAAATTACATGGATTGATTTTTCAAATATTAAGCCCACCTTGTATTTCTGGGAATAACTCCATTCAGTTATGATACATTATCCTTTCTATATGTTGCCAATTTTTATTTGGGAAAATATTATAGAATATCTTTGTGGTGCATAACATATTAAAGGACGTATTTGTGGGTGGAAGGAAACATGCTATACAAATGTTTAGTCATTTATCAGAACATGAAGAATAAACATATTACTCGAAATACGTAGACAAATATCAGGAATAATAGTTCAAAGAGCTAAAAGTGAATGAAAGCAGGACTAGTGGATAAAGTCATCCCTACTCATCCTAACTTGTTTCTCTACCATTTCAGTTTTTAAATTATATGCACATTACTTTGGTAGAAGTAAATCTGATTTATATTAATGAAAAAAAGTAAATCCTCCCCATCCAGAGACTAGTCATTTGTTCATTTTTAGTTCGTTTTCATTACAACTCTGATTCAGCTGGGATTTTTTTGGTCGGTGCATGGTGTGTGAACATCTGGAACAGGTTCTCTCTTTCCTCCCAAATAACTAGCTCCTCCCAGCACAATTTATTGATCGCCCTTAATTTTTTTCCATGTTAATACTCTCAATAATTTATACCAGGTTGTTTCTATGCCATTTGTCCTTGCCCTGGTACCATATTGACTTGAGCTATAGCTAGAATGAATTTACTGTGGTGGGGAAGCTCATCCAAACAAAAAAAGAAATAGGATGTGCAAGGCACAGAAGTTTATAAAAGCAGATGGCTGGTAAATGCATAGTTTGGAGGAATCGGAGAGTAGATATTGATGAAGAAATTGGGGTTCAGAGCAAATGGTCAAGAAAGAATTCTTGGTAAGTCTTTGGTGGTTTTATTAAAGCAGGAGGACAGGACCTATGGGCAGAAAGAGCTATACTGGGGTTGTGAGGGATGACTGATTATATACTTTAATTGGGAGGAGGTTAGGGACAGTACAAACCTCCAAGGTATTTTGGAAACAAGGTTTCCAGGATCCTGAGGGGGCTTGTTAGGGAAAGGTCATTTACTATGGTTTAATAAAAACTCAGTCATGAGACCCTTCAGAAGCCTATCAGTGGGCCATATGTTTGGGGGATGATTACCAACATACATCTAGGGGGATGGAGATAAAGGAAATTTCCAAAGAATTTTTGTATCTTCAAGAAGACTTATAGGATGGGGGGCAGGGTGGATCCTCAGACTAAGAATGCCTCTTGCCCTTAGCAAAGTATTAACATTGAAGAAATTGAGTTCCTAGAGGAATGTCACTCTGCCTGTTTCAAGGACGATCAGTGGGCGGTAAGTAGTAAGGAAATTTAATTTTTCTTTTGCCCTGGTTTCCCATATCAGGTATGTTTCGTAAATGTTGAAAGTGCAACAGTAAGTAGCATTACTTAAAACAAAACCTTGACAGTTAATCCTTGGAGAGGAATCACTAGCTTCATAAGCTGAGACCACCGCGTGAAGCAGAGACAGCAAACAAAGGCAAGCCCCTGGACTCTGGCTTCGGTTTTTCGCCAGCGCAGGCTCCCCGAGTGCTGGCGGCCCAGGGGGCGGGGCAAACGTCACTTCCCCCGGCCTCTGTCGGGGGCGCGATGACGGCCCGCCTGGAGCCTCCCCAGCGGCGTCCTGGAGTCGGGATAGGCGTAGTGGTAATTAGCAGCCAGCATCCTCGTTGTGTCCTCCTGGGCAAGAGGAAAGGGTCAGTTGGAGCCGGCAGTTTTCAACTTCCTGGAGGCCATTTGGAGTTCGGGTGAGCAGCTACAGGGGTCACCCAGGGAAAGCCCAACGTGCAGGGGAAGGATGAACTCTTTGCGTGCGTCCGTGCGTCTTTGCGTGCACGCTGACGCTGCGTCTTCTCGCGCGTTCCTCTGCTCGCCCCCTCTGGCTGATAAACCCCGCCCACCCCAGGTGCACGCTGGGAGCGGGGCACTGAGCTAGGGAGGCTGGGGAAGGAGCTGACTTAGGTGTTGAGTCCCGCTAGCACAGTCCTCTTCTTCTGGCGTCACGGTTGCGAGCTGGTGTGTGTCGTGCGTTTTTCTAGTTCTTGCACGTAAGGGACGGAAAGTGGGTCTTTATAACCTTCGAGCAGTCCAGTTTTGCCAGTGAAGGTATTTGCATGGTTTGGCTGTGCTTTAAACTTCCACGCATGGACGATCTGTTTCCTGCCCGAGCAGATTTACTTGCACCCTGACCAAGCAGATGGGCTAGTCGAACTCTGTGGGCCTCAGTGTCTTCATCTTTCCAGTGGGGAAGTTGGAACAAAGCACTTTTTAATGTCCCTCTCTGCTTTGGCATTCTGTGGTTTGATAATGGATCAGACCAACAAAAGAAGTCGGGTAGTTAAGGGTCAGGTCTACCCAAGGGTGCAGAAAGCCGGGGATTGTGCTGAAAGGTGGGTTCTGAAGGGAGAATACGGTTAAAGTCAACAGCAGATAAACAGCATCTAAAGCGTTCAGAGCTAGCACTTGTTTTTCCATTAGTGTAAAAGTTCCAGACATGCATAAAAGAGAAAATAGTTGGTGAATCCTCATATACCTGTTACTAAGCTTGTTCTTTCATCTTTATTGCTCCCTCTCAACAGACACACCTAAAACAGCTCCTTGTTTTCTAGACTCGTCTAAAGGAAAACTGACATTTATTATACCACCCCTAAATAATTCAGTATGTATCTGTAATAGGCTTTTCAAGAGACGTAAACACGTTTTTCCACCTTAACAAAATACCATTTTCACACCTCAAGGTAATTCTTTAATAACCTGTGATACCCAGTCTGTACCGTTTTCCCCAATTGTCTTGAAAATGTCTTTTTATTGTTTCGTACCAATCGAGATCAAAGGAGGAGTACATATTACATGTACTTTGGGGTTGATAAATTTTTTTAAGTCTCCAAATCCAACAGTAATCCACCCCCCCTTTCCCTTTCTTTCCATGCTATGTTGAAGAATTTGGATCATTCGGAGAATTTCATACATTCTGACTATATTCTTCTAATCCACCTATTTGTTATAAAGTGCTAGTTAGAAGTAGAGGTTTGATCCTAGTTCCCTTTAACCAGACTTTGTCTTTTATGAAACATGGAATTCTTCGTAGCACATGGAATTTTTTAAATGGTCTTCAGGATTTTAAAAAGCATCAATAAGTTTATCATTTTTAGATAATTAAGATAAGCCATCAGTTAATAACTAATAAAATTCCGGGCACACTATATTGTACTTGGTCAATTGTTAATAGGCATTAGGTCACAAACTAAGCACTAGTTAGAATGTATAATTACTGGAGCAATGGCTAAAGATAGCTTAATAATAACACAATAAAGTATTGGAATCTTTACTCAGATATTCAATGATAATAGCCAGAATTGAACTTTAATGAGCTTTTACTAAGTGCTAGATATTATGCTAAGCTCTTCACATGTATGCTTTCACTTATCTTTATATGACTGATACACTGACTGGGCTAAGTTTGATGGGAAACAGATAGGAAATGGCTTTATTTTCTCCTTCCATTGTCTTTAAACATGATTTGTCTCTCCCTTCTCTGCTGCTCCAAGACATTTCCTGCAAATTCTATTGTTTTCCTGTCACTTGATTATAAAAATAAATCACACTTCGGTCATTGTGATCCACTTCCAAGCATTTGTCTCTCCCCTGTAGTGGGGAAAAGGAGAGAAGAGGAGGGCCTCCTCCTCTTCTCACTGTTTCTGGTTTCCTTCCTTCTCCAGGATGCTGGGGAGGAAGGGAGGGAGCCAGACTTTTTACATTACTAGTGCTGCTGTGGGGGCACCTGGGTGGCTCAGTTGTTAAGCGGCTGCCTTTGGCTAAGGTCATGGTCCCAGGGTCCTGGGATCGAGCCCCGCATCGGGCTCCCTGCTCGGTGGGAGGCCTGCTTCTCCCTCTCCCACTGCCCCTGCTTGTGTTCCCTCTCTCGCTGTGTCTCTCTCTGTCAAATAAATAAATAAAATCTTTAAAAAAAAAAAAATAGTGCTGCTGTGATCCCCCCATGGGTAAGGTCTGGATGCAGTATTCACAGGTGTGCTCTCTTTCTCAGCATATATTCGTTGGTTGTTTGGAAGTCCTATAAGGATGTCTATACTGCACAGTTTTCTGACATAGGTGACTGATTTAGCTTTTGCTTAGCACACTATCTTGCATTTTCTTTATGCTGCGGTGCCCAGTTGTCTCTTGTAGCATCTGTTGGGCCCAGAGGAAATTCACAATCGAAAATAATGCCTTCACTGTCACCCTTTTCTCTTGCTCATTCATCATGGGCTTCTCTAGCCAGTCTCCTGCTTTCCAAATTCTCAAGGTGGGAATAAGCCTCAGTCTCTGTCTTCACATGCATCCCTAAACATCAAGGGACACATTTTAGACTTACCGAAGAGCTCTTACCTTTCTACCGCCCCTACTCTGATGCACGGCCTGAGTTTCCGCAGCTCCATATGTCTTTAGCAGGGGAGTAACACACCAGTGTCTCCTTGGAAGTCACACCCAATCTCTGACCAGTTTTCTTGGAGCACCTCTCACTTGGCTTTGGGGCAGAGTTGTCCCCTCATCAGGAGGAAGGGAAACATTGCTACTATGCTTGAAAATGCATAACTTTGGGGCCCCTGGGCGGCTCAGTCGTTAAGCGTCTGCCTTCGGCTCAGGTCATGATCCCAGGGTCCTGGGATCGAGCCTCACGTCGGGCTCCCTGCTCAGTGGGAAGCCTGCTTCTCCCTCTCCCACTCCCCCTGCTTGTGTTCCCTCTCTCGCTGTGTCTCTCTCTGTCAAACAAATAAAATATTTAGAAAAAAAAAAAGAAAATTCATAACTTCCCTCCCTCCCAAAAATCTCTCTTTTTTATTATGTAGACTGGGTGGGGTGAAGGTCAAAAGACTACTCTGGCCTTTGGAAACTTTTGAGTTTAGATGGCATCTGTTTGGTCTTTTGCCATACTCTTTAGAACTTAGAGGTGTTTATTGCCTCTTGTCCTCAATTTTGAGGGTTAATCAAAAATTGTGAGACTGCAGGAAAAGACATCATCCACTTCTTGATACACCTATAACAACCCAGTGAGAGAGTGGCATTATCTCTTTATTTGTCCAAGATAGAAAGTAATGGACTTTGAAATCAAACCTAGGTCTAGCTAACTCCAAAGCCTGTGCTCTTTTTTTTCTTTCTTAAAGATTTTATTTATTTTTTCAGAGAGAGAGACAGAGACAGAGCACAAGCAGGGGGAGCTGCAGGCAGAGGGGGAAGCAGGCTCCCCATGAGCAAGGAGCCCAATGATGCAGGACTCGATCCCAGGATCCTGGGATCATGACCTGAGCTGAAGGCACATGCTTAACTGACTGAGCCACCCAGGCATCCCAGCCTGTGCTCTTAACTGGTATATCAAACTGTCTCCTGATTGCATTCGGCTTCCAGGCATGTGAACGAGTGCTGAATTGGCTAAATGTTCTTTTTTTTTTTTTTTTTGCTCAATATGAAGTCCTTTTGGTCTTCAGATAACTTCAAATACTTTATACTTCAGATGAAGAGAATGTCAAAGGCAGGGTTGTTGATTGATTATTTTAAAGCATGAGCCAGTTACAGTTCTTCTTGCTTTACACTAGAAATTCCTAGCTAAGAATTTCCATGGCAAAAAAGTAAATTACATAAACAGAATTGAATACAGTGGTATGCTTCTGTTTTCCAGTGAAACGTGGGAAGAATGTGCTCAAAGGGAAACCTGGGAAGAAGCAGCTCTTCACCTGAAAAATGTTCGCTTTGCCTCAGTTGTGAATTCCTTTGTTGAGAAAGAAAATTACCATTATGTGACCATACTAATGAAAGGAGAGGTGGATATGACTCATGACCCGGAACCCAAGAACACAGAGCCTGAAAAAAATGAAAGTAAGAGAATTATAATATACTCATGCATCTTCTGAGAGAAGCATATCATCTGAGTATTACAGTATGTTGCCATGGGAAGAGACTTAGAGTCTCTTCATACAGAAATGTAAATATACTTAAATCCTGAGACCATAAGGACACAGCAGGAAAGAGACCTGGCTCCCGAGCCATACTATTTGACTTGCATCCCGGTTTTTCCACTTAGAGGTTTGCAGCCTTCGGCAAGTTATTTAAAGTCTCTGGGCCTCTTTTTTCCTCTATGATAAGAGTAACCACCTCAGATGGGTTGTTGTAAGGATAAAATGAGTTAATGCGCATAAAGAACCAAGTGAACAGCCTAAGTACTCAGTAAATCTTAGTTTTATTGTTAGTGTTTTATTTTACTTCAGACTGATTTTAAGGAAAACATTTAAGGTGCCATGCCCAGTGTTCTCACCTGTATAAAGGTATAAATTTCCTTGTATAGAGAGGGACTAACCAGAGTTATCCTCCGTGTCGCGTCGGGTGCTCTGAAAGCTGTAACAACAATTGATACTTACTGTGTGCTAAGCGTTGTTTTAAGGGCTTTGCATGTATCACCTCTCTTCAAGTTTCATAAAAGTCCGTGACAAAGAGTAAAATATTGAATTTATCAAATATATTATTTGCCATATGAAACCTGATCCAAGTGGTCTTGTGTCCTGAACCTCCCCTGTAAACATTTAATTTATTCTCTAATATGGAAGAATCTTTTCATTCAATAAATAGTTCCTGAGTACTGTGTGCCCGTTACTATTCTGGGCACTAAAGAAGCGGCGATGGGCAGAACAAAGTCCCTGCCCTCTCAGACGTGACATTTCACTGGGGGTGGGGGGGAAGGCAACAAATTGGCAGGTATTTTACAGTGTAATTATAAGGAATAAGAAGGATAGGGACACATGGGTGCTGCATCAGATAGGGTGGCCAGGGAGGGCTCTGAGAAGGGGACATATATGCAGAGGCCTGGAGGAAGTGATATTTCTAGATGAATAAATCATCACTGAAGTGTTTTGCAGATTGAATTGATTGAATGAACAGAAGGGCATGTCCCACCCAAAGGCCTGTTGAGTCATATATGATTTTTTTTTTTAATAAAACAGATAACTACTGGAAATCATCTCAAGTGAATTAGCAAAGTCTGAGCCATTTTTACTCACTATACCCTAACACCAAATGTGTGGCTTTTCTCCTTACACCAAATAATTCTCCAGACATCAGTTGGGTGTCTTACAATTCAGTTGAATTCTTACACAGTCTGGAGTTAGTATCAGATCCCAAAAGTTAAGGAGCTCAGTTCCACAAGACTGTCCCCAGTCACTTCAAATGCCAGTCGAAAGTCCTGGCCTCCTGTATTTCTGACTGCCTGGCTACATTGGGCTTCCCACCACCTCCTCCTCGGGTTCAGTAATTTGCTAGAATGGCCTGCAGAACTCGGGAAAACACTTTCCTTACATTACCAGTTTATGACAAAGGAAACAACTCAGAACAGCCAAATGGAAGAGAGGCACTGGGCCAGGTAGGTGGGGAGAGGGAGGCTGAGCTTCCATACTCTCAAGGAGCATGACACCCTCCTGGCACCTTGATGTGTTCACCAACCGGGAAGCTCTCTAAATTCTGTTGTGTAGGGTTTTCATGGAGGTTTCTATGTAATGGGACTATTGCATATTATTATTGCTACAACTGATTAAATCATTGTCTGCTGGTGATTAACTCAATCTCCAGCTCCTCTCCCCTCACCTCAGGTGGGATGTGGGTGGTGGGAAGTCTTTCTGGTCACCAGCCCCCATCCTGAAGCTATCTAGGGACCTCCAGTGACCCATCAGCTTATTAGCATAAACTCAGATATGGTTGAAAGGGGTTTATTATGGATAACAAAAGTTGTTCCTCTCATCCCTATCACTTAGGAAATGACAAAGGTTTCAGGAACTCTGTGCCAGAAAACAGGGAGGAAGGCCAGATATGTATTTCTTATATCACAGTAACACACACAAAAACACCCAAAAAGTATCCAAAGGCCTCCGGTTGGCCTTGGGCACAACTAAAATCATTCATGCCTTAAGAAGGGAAAGCAGGACAGGTAGGTGAGAAATGTACCAGGTTCCCTGGGGGAGCTCTCTACAAGTTCTGCTCTCTCTCCCATCCTAATTATCCTGGATAAATTGAGGACTAGGAGAGAGGACAGTCCAGGACAGTAACAGTGGGAACAAAACTCAATAGTCTAGATATCCTGAAGCTGTGGGGAGGAGCAGTTGATTACTTGGCTTTTTAACATCAAATTGAAGTGTAAATATGGATATTTCCACGTTAACACTTTTTGTAGGACTCCGTTTCCTACAAAGCAGGATGTATTTCATATACCTGAAGCAAAATATATTTCATATAACTGAATTTTTAAAAACGAATTTGAGGCATCATTTATTCAGGTAATAAATAAGCACAGATCATTGTTATCTAAAAACAGAAACTTCAACTTGGAAGAAATGACCATTTCCTTATTTTTATCTCTGTTACAGGCAAAAAAAAAAAAAAACCTGAGACAAAACGATGAAATAGTTTGGTTTTGTATACTTAGTGTCCTTCATAAGAAGCAGACATAGAAAGTATTCATTTGTAGATAAGGGCCAAGCAGAAAACACCGGAGTGACTGTCCAACCGGCTCTGACCAGTCGGCAGTCAGCTGCCTGTGTCTCTCAGGCCCCAACCCTGCCCGGCCACCCCACCTGGTCCCTGCAGGGATTGATCGGGCCCAGCTGAGCCCCCTGGTGCAGAGTGCTGGCTGCCTCTATTTCTAGTTACCTTCCCCTGACATTCAGAAGGTATCTCAGGTTCAGTTCAAGTGTTCAGTTTCAGATCGTACTTAATGTTTTTCCTTTATTGAACTGTGCATACATAAAGGGCAGAATTTGGGTTCATTCACCTTTGCCTGGCTCCTATTCAGAGTACATTGTTCAGAATATGTTGAAGGAAGAAGGGAACGAGGGAATGAGGTTCCCAAATACAGTACCTAGACTGGCCTACTTTTTAACAATTTCTAAAAGACTATTCTACTTTATGAAGTTCGTTATTAGGGTTTTTGTTACTCTACTGTTGTATGCATTGTTTTTCTCCTCCTAGAATATGGTAGTTTTGAGTCCTTTTTACATGCTTTGTGATTTTTTAAAAATTCATTTATATAACTTTTTTTTGAGTTTGTCTCCCTTCATTTGGTTGACCCTCTCACATGCTAGTAATCTGAAATCAAACAGCATGATTTTATAAGGCCCAAGGTTACTAGCACCAAGTCAGATTTGACCAGAAACACTCATTCCACTCTATCCCTTAGTAACAATATAGCGGGCATTATTTTCACTTTTTTCCCAGTTGAGAGCCCTTGCTGAGGACCAGCTGCAGCACAGCCAAGATGCAGTGGCTCGGTGGTGGTGGTTTTATTTATAGTATAAACATGCGGTCTCTCTCCCATGTTCATCAGATCTTGGATCTGGCTCCCCCGCTTCAGGTTACAAGTTAGAGCATCTTTCCTCCAGCCAGCCAGTTATAATTAGGAGGATCAGCCAGGTGCTTCATTTTCTCCAAGACAAGAGAAACTTTACAGACAGCTCTCTTGAGACTCTGTTAATTCGGCATCTTGCAGACCATTGCTGGGTGACACCTCTCTGTCTCTCTCTCTCCCCCCTCCCTCTCTCCCTTTCCTTCCTTCCTTCCCTCTTTCTTTTAGTCTGTGGTCACAGTGGCTGATCACTCCTTCCTGAACTTGTTCTAACTTTATGGATTCTCTGTCCCCTGCTTTCTCAGAGTGAAAGTACATACCTGTATTTTATAGGCAGAGAAATACTTAATGGAAGTAACTGCACTTAAACATAAGTATACACATGTGATCATGAGGAAACGTAGTTTGAACATGGAGTGTATATCTTAATAATATAGTATTTATATATTCATCTGTTAGCATCTGTGCTTTCATGTTATTTACATCTAAAGATTTAATTAATTTATTTATTTGGGAGAGAGAGCACTTGTGTGTGAGAGTGGGAGGAAGAGGGAGGGAAAGAATCTCAAGGAGTCTCTACACTGGGCTCATGGAGCCCATTCTGGGGGCTTGATCTCACAACCCTGAGATCATAACCTGAGCCGAAACCAAAAGTAGGTTGTTCAGCCCAGTCACCCAGGCAGCCCTCATGTTATTGACATTTAAATCATCAAAGAAGGGGTGCCTGGGTGGTGCAGTCTGTTGAGCAGCCAACTCTTGGTTTGGGCTCAGGTCGTGATCCCCAGTCCTGAGATGGAGACCCTGTCGGGCTCTGCGCTCAGCATTGGAATCCGCTTCAGATTCTCTCTCCCTCTCTCCCCTCTCTCTCTCTCTGCCCCTCCCGCTCATGCTCTCTCTCTCTCTCTCTCAAATAAAATAAATAAATAAATAAAAATAAAAAATAACTCATCAAGGAAAACACTGTTCCCTAAAATGTTCCTCTAGAATTTTATGGATTTCACAACTAATAGACACTGTTAAATCTTTCTTCTTTCAATGGATTTTTTTTAAAATTGGTCCCATCCCTACTGTCTTTCTTTTTTTTTTTTTTAAAGATTTTATTTATGTATTTGAGAGAGAGACTGAGAGAGAGAGAGCACGAGAGGGGGGAGGGTCGGGAGGGTCAGAGGGAGAAGCAGACTCCCTGCCGAGCAGGGAGCCCGATGCAGGACTCGATCCTGGGACTCCAGGATCATGACCTGAGCCGAAGGCAGTCGCTTAACCAACTGAGCCACCCAGGTGCCCTCCCTACTGTCTTTCTACCTAAAGTGTACCGCAACACAGAGAATACTTCTTATTCTCTGCACAGCTTCCATTACCTTTTAAAAAGATGGAGGATAGCTTAGAAATGTAATTTACCGGGGCATTAGTCGGTTAGGTGTCTGCCTTCGGCTCAGGTCATGGTCCCGGGGTCCTGGGATCGAGCCCCGCATCGGGCTCCCTGCTCAGCAGGAAGCCTGCTTCTCCCTCTCCCACTCCCCCTGCTTGTGTTCCCTCTCTCGCTGTCTCTCTCTGTCAAATAAATAAATAAAAATCTTTAAAATAAAAAAAAAAGAAATGTAATTTACCTTATTCTATAGGTGAGGTAACTAGTTTATTTTAACGTAGTATTGTAACCTGTCGTATATAAAGTTCTGTGCGTTTCATTTAAGCCAAATATTTAAGCAAAAATTGAATGGTCCTAAATCTGGGTTTTACCATAATGGGGCTCTTATAAACTTGGCTTCATGTGGAAATAACAGCATGTTTTAAATGATCACCATTCTGTTACGCTCATTCTAAATGCAAATTATGTTGGTACAGCAGAGCTAATGCATAGCATCACTGTGATTAGTAGCATACTGTTATCAGTGGCGAGTCATTTTTGAATTTAATCAATTTTTTCTCAGGATAGGTTAACTTGCCAAAATAAATATTCTTTGTTTGCTTCTAGCTAAATTAATTGATTTGGTATCCTTCTTTTCTAGGTTGGGAGTGGGTTCCCTGGGAAGAATTTCCTCCACTGAACCAGCTTTTCTGGGCACTGCGTTGTTTAAAGGAACAAGGCTACAATCCATTTAAAGAAGATTTGGATCATCTGGTAGAATACAAAGGACATCATCCTTGGGGGTACAAGAAGAAAACCTGATTTATTTTAAAAAGACAAAAGAAGGTCCTGTTAGAAAATGAAAAATATCTACATTTCAGAACAACTCCATTTTATTTAGAAAGTTCCATATGATTGTCAGTTTATTTGATCTCTCTTAATATACCCAACACCCTTTCAGCCAGTACTTGTGAAAAATTTTCGGGCATTATGTCGTGAAGTGCACTTCAGACTCAGCGTGACAAATGGTGGTATTGTGGCACTTCTGCTCTCTGTATTTCTTTGTGATTTTTACTGTGCAGTTTGTCATGACCAGCTTGCATGGGGTGGAGGGCAGTAGGATTTGCCTTAGTGTTTCCGTTCAAATAGAGATCCTAGTTCAGATGCTAACACAGTGTGCCTGTTGCAGAATTTATCCTGTCTGTTGATTTTCCTCTTCTGTTTTATTTAAAGCAAAATTTTTAGTACTGAATTATGACCGTCCTTGCACCTGGAGCAACAGGACAGGTCATTAGGGTGTATGTCCCAGAGTTCTGATTCAGAACCTACCTCAAGAGAAGTGAGACAAACCGCCTGAGATATTACCCTGTCATTAACAGGCCATGTAATTTTGGATTTCTCACCTAATCTCTGTGAGATCCAACTTCCTTATATCTAAAAGAAGAGTAGACTAGGGCACTGGTTCTCAAGGTGTGGTCTGGGGAGGTCTGTGAGACCCTTTCAAGGGCACTCAAGGTGAAAGCTGCTTTCATAATACCAGGACATTATTTGCCTTTTCCACTGTCATTCTTTAATGAGTGTACAGAGGAGCTGTCCAGAGGCTAAGGGACATGTGATATTGTAACAGACTGAATGCAAGAAGAAACCAGGCAAGCCTCATGGATGATACTCTTCATAGGTTTATCTCAAATATAGTTGATTGGGAATTCATTGATTCCTTTTTTTAAAATTTAAATTCAATTAACATATAATGTATTATTGGTTTCAGAGGTAGAGGTCAGTGATTCATCAGTTATATATAACACCCAGTGCTCTTTACATCATGTGCCCTCCTTAATGCCCATCACTCAGTTATCCCATACCCCCACCCCACTCCCCTCCAGCAACTCAGTTTGTTTCCTATGACTAAGAGTCTCTTATGGTTTGTCTCCCTCTCTGATTTTATCTTGTTTTATTTTTTTTCCTCTCTTCCCCTATGATCCTGTTTTGTTTCTTAAATTCCACATATCAGCGAGATCATATCATAATTGTCTTTCTATGATTGGCTTATTTCACTTAGCATAATAACCTCTAGTTCTATCCACGTCATTGCAAATGGCAAGGTTTCATTTTTTTGATGGCTGAGTAGTATTGCATCGTATATATATACATCTTCTATGTCCATTCATCTGTCAATGGACATCTGGGCTCCTTCCGTAGTCTGGCTATTGTGGGGAATTCACTGATTCTTTAGGCTAGAACTTATCACCAAGCAGATGTGTTACAGCTTCAGAGACTTACCACAAACCTGTAGAGTTTTTCCACATCAGCTACTTTAAATTTTTGATAGACTCATTAGGAGCTTGTGAGATTGTTTGTTTTAAATTCACCCAATTAGACATGAAGGTTTATTGCAATGGAAATTAAAAACTAACCTGGGCTGTTATTTATAGGGAAAGGTGAAAGGATAAGTTTCATATTAGAAGGGGATTGCATTTATCCCAGTACCTAATATGCTCAGTTGGCATCCCATAATCACTCAGTAAATATTTCTCTAAATAAACAGATGAACGGAGGAGGATTTAGAACTCTTATGTAAGCAGTTAATTCTTAGGTGATTTGAGAATTGCCTTTAATGGAAAAAAACGAATGTTGACTACTAGCAATATTCTCTTAAGATTAAATGTCGGCTAGAGTTCCTGAGGTATACCTCACCCTGCCAGGATGCTGGGGAACCTGAAATATCTCTTCATCTGTTTGCTAGATCAAGCCCGGAGGTGTCCTGTATCCCCAGATAAGCAAGTGCGGTATCCTAGCAAAAGCATTCCCAGTAGAGCATGATGTGAATTCAGCCTCCCTTACCTCCACTTGGAAGAGACAGTTCCCTGATAGCTTAACTGCTAGCTTTCCAAATAAGGCAAATGCTTTCAGATGAAACATTCTCTTTGGGGCAGCAAGGATCATATTAACTGGGAACTGTGGAGAAGGAAAGCTCAGGGAGTCATCTCTGTGGGAGAACACAAAGTCTTGTTCCAACATAAAATCAATCACATGTCAATGCTGCCTTTTAAAAAAAATAATTAGATTATTTATGTTGTACTGAATTTGAACCCATCACACTTAATCCCAAATTCTCATTCTAGACTTCCTCCCATTTTTATGTTTAAAATGTTTAAGTATTTGGCTTTTTGCATAATAATATTGCTTAGAGTTCAGTATAAATATCATTAAACACCTATCACAGTACTTAGCACACCCCTCTGGTTGGCTAACTAACTGAGGTAAAATACACATGACAACATTTGCCCTCTGACTTATTTTTGACAGTATACCTAGAATGACTTTTCAAAAACTTGAATCTGATGGTCATTTGGCTTCTTTTCAATTGAGGCTGTTACAAATAAAGCTGCTGTGAGCACTTGAACATGCTTTCTTTGGGGTTCACATGTGTATTTATTTCTGTTGGATGTAAACAGATGAGTGGAAAGGCTGGGTGACAGAGTACATATCTTTGCTAAAGAAATCTTTTTTTTTTTAAAGATTTTATTTATTTATTTGACAGAGACACAAGCAAGAGAGGGAACACAAAGCAGGGGGAGTAGGAGAGGGAGAAGCAGACTTCCCGCTGATCAGGGAGCCGGATAAGGGGCTCGATCCCAGGACCCCAGGACCATGACCTGAGCCGAAGGCAGATGCTTAGCGACTGAGCCGCCCAGGGGCCCCTTGCTAAAGAAATCTTAATGTGCTTAATTTATAAGTTGCCTCTTCAGAACTTGCTGGGGGTATTATATAACATATGAGAGAGAGATCCTGGATATATAGTTACCAGGATATATATATATATATATACACACATATATATATATATATATATATATATATATCCTATTAACTTTCTAGAATATTTTAAGAAATCTAAATTCTGAAATACATTTAGACACCAGGGTTTTGGATGAGATTGTAGAGCTGTATATATAAATGCAAAGTGAGTGTGTACATCGCAGTTTGATTTCTTTGAGGTACACGTGAAATTCCCTTTTCTTTTTTAATCCCCTGCCCCATCAACCCTCATAAGGAATCTACATCCCTTCATCCTCTGTTTTTCTGTTTGGGTTTATTTGTTGTCATGTTCTTTGTCCGTGTTGATTTGTGAGTGAAACCACAAGCTTCCCTGAGGGAAGAGGTGCTAAGACCGTTGAATTACGAATGCCATGCCTGAGAAGGGTCCTGAAAGGCTCTAGGGCCTGATGCTCAAATTTGGATGGAAGGCCTCACACAATTTCCAGTCAGCAGGTAACGAGCAGATTCCCCGATCTGCCTTCTAACGGCCATCCCGTGACTCTGAAACACTTGGGATATGGCCACACTTTGAGAAAAATAACCACTTTCCAGATAGTTTTCAGTGTAACCAATATGGCCATTGTGCTTTGCACAAACGTAATATGGGAAAGGCAGGTGTAGAATAATAATTTTAAACCTTGGACACTTTGAATGGAATCCTATTGTAATAAATCTGACCAAATACCAACATTACTGTTTACACTTAGTCAAAATGAAACCCTATTGTTACACAATAGAGACTAGTACAGGATGTTCTTTGTGTGCAGTTTAGAAAAAAAATTGAGCAGAGGGAATTTTGAAAAAGCCCATTCTTAGAGCACTAAGCAGTGATTCTGGAGGATGTTTTCATACCAAACCTGTAGCAAATTGTGTTTTCAATGACAGAGAAAGGAGTGATGTTGGGTGAATGGGAATATGCTACCCCTAAATATGCCATTTTGGCATGATTAATTAAAGTTACTTAAGAAAGAGCCAATGCAGGGACATTCTGACCCTCCTTTGTCTGCCTGAAAGCAGGAAATAAATCTCCCATGTGAAAGGTACCCTTCTTATATACCAGAGTTAGAGAGACATGCTTATCACCAGAGATAGGGAACTTAGCAACGAGAAGACTGCATAAACAAATACTGTTACTTCTTCACTAATTTATTACCCCAAGCCCAAACCCCTTTGTCTTGTCAGTTCTGCACAAATTTATTGTTTGTCTAAAAGGTATAAAAGATGCCTGCATTGGGCACTTCTTTGATTTTCATATTTTTATGGGTTCCATATATACAAAATTAGATGTTTTTCTCCAATTAATCTACATCAATTTAGTTATTAGATCAGCCAAAGAACCTAGAAGGGAAAAATTTTCTGCCCCGACATGGGGCATGCTCATTTTAATAAAGGTACAATGTACGTGAGTCTCAGACTTACAACAGGATCAAAGAGTTAAATTTTCAGTGTGGGGAAAACAGCAATCCAAAAAGCATGACATTTCTTTTGTTTAAAAATTAATGCTAACTTTTGGGGTGCATGGGTGGCACAGTTGGCTGAGTATCTGACTCTTGGTTTCCACTCAGGTCGTGATCTCAGGCTCGTGAGATTGAGCCCCGTGTTGAGCTCTGTATGTCGGGCTCTGTGCTCAGCATGGAGTCCGCTTGAGACTCTCTGTACCTCTCCTTCTGCCCTGCCCCCTTGCTCTTTCAAATAAATAAATCTTAAAAAAAATTAGTATAATAATAAAAATTTAGGCAAACTTTGATGAGACCCAAGTGTTTGAAAATAACATTTTTGGTCATAATATCTTTAATTGATCATAGTATCTTTAAATTAACACCCATATATGTATTTATTGATTTTTGAAGACCATTCTGGTCTGTGCTACAACTCTTGGGAGTTTCTTTTACCTTAAGAAGTCAGGGTGTTGCAGTAAGTGTTGAATTTTGAACTGTGTCCTTATGTTTTATTGTACTTGCCACTATTTGGATTTATCTTACTGATTTGTTTATGGGTGTATTAACTGTCCCCTCCCTTGCCCCTCAGCTTCGTCAAGTGCAGGAAGGCAGGCTCTGTCTTATTCATTGCTGTACACTCAGCACTGGAAGATGCTCAAACACATGAGGAAGGAAAGGAAAGCAAAGGACAGGATGCAGGGGAGGGGGAGTTAGCCATGGGGGCTCTAGACTACATTGCGAATAGCAAATATTCCTTCACACTGACCCCATGTCAGTCTAGGAGGCTTTTTCAGCACAGCCAGAAGCACCAGTCAATGGGAGACGAACATGGTTGAAAACTATTCCATATGATCACTAATGCTAATATTCTTTGACTTTATATGTCAGAAGGTAAAGTAGCTAAGACATTTAAAATGGAAGTTTCAGCAAAAGATTTAAAAGACAGTATGCCTCATTTAAGGAATATAAGTACCCACTGTGTGGCAACAGATTTCATTCTAATGGCCATAAAATCTGTTGTTACAAAGAAAATCATTTTCCCAAACATTGTAATTAGGGAGATACATCCTGGCCAAAGGTTTGGTCTCATAAAAACTGCTGAAAAAACTGTTAGAATGATGATACAACAAAATTGTTAATTGAAAATATTGATTAACCAAACACAGTAAAATGGTCTTAAGTGTATAGGTGGCCTAAATATCACGGCCTAAGGAACTATAACAGAACCCACAAATATTTGCTAATGTGGGTTCCCACACACTTTCTGTGCCTGCCATCCTTGAATCAGACCTTCAGCTGCATCAAAGCCATCTTGTAGAACAGAGTCCAAACTTTTCCATTCCTTGGCATTTTAAAATGGTGTCAAGTTAACTTTTGATGCAGAAAACAAAAGAATGTTAACATGAAAAAAAACATACTAAAGCAGAAAACAGTACAATGAACTTCCACATACCCTACACTCAGATTCCATTAAGTACCAAGACTTTGCCTTATTTGCTTTAGCTCTCTACTTTCCACTTCCTTTTCCTTGGCTGTGTATCATCTATCTATATATATTTTTTTAATTAGGCAACCAATATTTTACTATACCGCATAATAGACACTGTTATGACTAATTTATGCATATTGGCATATGTTGAATTCACATTAATACAAAATAAACTGAACTGTCAGATAATTTATACTTTATTAGAATTCCAAACTAGGCTACTCATTTCATTCCTTGTATTATTCAAGATACCAATCTAAAAACATAATTTTGTTCCCAGCAAACTGCTGAAATTGGAAGACAAATGTTTTTCTAGAGGCCATTTTATTAAATACTAAATACTAAATTTTATTAAATACTAAAAAGGAAAAGAAGTTGGAAAAATTGAATTCTCAGTTCATTGCAAGGATGTAGATTACTAAAAACTATATAGTATCTCAGGAAATACATTGTTTTAAAAAATGTATACATGTGGATCTTTAAAAAAGACCAAGAACCTATCCGAAAATATTAATATGGTCTCTTGGTAGAAGTTTTTCTTTGTAATTTACTGTATTTGCTAAATGCTCCACTATGAATGTTGTATTATTACTTTTGCAATCTGAAAAAAAAATGTAAAAAGTACACAAAGACAAATTGTAGTTGTATAAGCGTATTATTTAAACATGGAGGTTAACCATTAAGTTAAAAGTGGTTAAAAGTGATTCCTTCTGGAAAATGCAGGAAGAGGGAAGGTGAAGGCAAGAGATAGCTTTCCTTCTAAACCTTTCAGACAATCCAATCTATTATTCTTAAGATCAGACATTATTATGGTAAGCTTTTTCAGTTACTTAAAAAAAAACTAGTGGGAAGACTAATGGGAAAAAAAAACACAAAAAGCAACTTCAATTTATTTCTTCTAAGAATGTCAGTATGGGCCTTTGTGAAACCTACTAGCTGTGATTACTAGTTTAGCTGTATGCAGTCCATCATGTTCATTCACACTCCAGAGTTCTATTTATGTATAAAATGCAACTGGATTTACAAAAATAATTTCTTACCTATACTGAAGGCATATTTCAATTAAAACAAAAAGCATACAGAGTACAAACAAAAGTGAGTTTATTTACAAAAATTACAATAATTACAGATAGTACAAATTGAAACAATCTCCCCCGTTACTGTAACAGAAGCTACCAGCCTTCACTTTCAAATGAGGGCTTTGTTATTTCAAGGTATGATACACATTCAGTGATCCACTGCCCTTATTCTAAATAATTCCAGGGGCTGATGAGTGGTATGTACATGGGTCATTTCTCTCCACTTTTATTCCCAGAATTACTGTGTACAAGTTCAACATAACTACACTATAACAGGGTAGAGCGGCACTGAGTAATTTTTTTTTCCCCAACAGTAAATTTTGATTATTCTTTAAATATTCACTTAGTGATTTAGAATTGAAACCATGATTTTTGGCTTTAAAAAGAAAGTCCAGTGATTTTTGATGGGTTGCACAATTCCACTATAGCCAGTATTACCTGGCTATTTTTTACAGGCTTCCAATTGTTTAAGAAACAGAATTCCACAGTATTCTATTCTGTTTTGTTTGTTTTTTAGAGAGGAAGAGAGGTGGGGGAAGGGGCAGAGGGAGAGAGGGAATCTTAAGCGGACTCCACACCCAGCACG